CATTGGCACCCATATGGGATGCCAGTGCCACAACGTGGAGGATTAGCCTACTGTAACACTGTGTCAACTAGCATTTTTTTTTTTTAGGATTTACTTATTCTTACTGGAAATACAAATATGCAGAGAGCAGGAGAGACAGAGAGAAGAATCTCCCATCTGCTGGTTCATTGCCCAAGTGACCACGATGGCCAAAGCTGAGATGATCCGAAGCCAGGAGCCACAGACTTCTTCCTAGTCTCCCACGCGGGTTCAGGATCTCAAGGCCTTGTGCTGTCCTCAACTGCTTTCTCAGGCCACAAACTTGGAGCTAGATGGTAAGAGGAGCAGCCAGGAATGATCCAGAGCCCAAATGGGAGTCCAGCACAAGCAAGGTGAGAATTTAGCCACCAGGCTATTGCACTAGGCCCAATATGGGTTTTAAAGGAGAATAAATAGGTAAGGCATTCACACAGTTCAAGCTGTATATGATTCTAAGAATGAACTAAAGTTCTCTCCTGTTTGTGTCCTCCAGCCACTCACTTAAGTTACCTACTGTGGAGGAGCTGCTCCAAGGAAAGAATGGTGTGGTTTAAAGCACAGTCAGGGTTGTTGGTTCTTCAGAAGTATAGCCCCTTTGTTGCATGATTCAAATGCCACCCACCACTCCTGACCCGGGATCTGGTTTCTGTGACAACTCCTAGATCCTACTCAGCAGCCGGCAGGAAAAGGCCCTGCAGGGATGCCTTCCGCATCCTTGCTTCAACTGCTGCCACCTGCTGGACCAAGACAGCTGAACCTAAACCAGGTCAGCGAGCAGGCCTTCCAGCACTGCTTTCTCAGCTAGAGATGCTGCCCAAGCAGCTGCCTGCACTGGAGCCCCCGGATGCATTTCCTCACCCAGGGGAATTTCATTTTCAGTGAGAGACCCATTCTCTGGACTAACCAGCCCCACGGACAGGAGTGAGCGGAAGCCGACCTCCTCTGGCAACGGCCCAGGGTGACCACATGGATCGTATTCTGGCCACGATTACAGTGCGCACACCGGCTGCCGGTTCTGCCCAGTTCCCCACCATGTGTCACCTGGAGCCACTTTTTGTTTCTGAGAGGGCGTTGATGTGGCTGAAGCCACCCTCCAGATTGAAGTCCAGGTTTTCTGGAAAGTCTGTAGCCCAGTTGCTAAAATGAGGCTTCAGCTGCAGCCAAGAGCAGTCACTTCAGGGTTGTGTGGGAGGTTATGCCGGTCTCAGCTGGGGTGAACCAGGCTGCTCTAGTCCTCTGGCCTCACTCCCACGTGGGGCGGAAGGAGCTGCTGTGCGGGGCTGCTCCCTCTCCTGGAGGCCTTCCATCCCCGTGGGGCCTGGCCTGCATGTCTGAACGTGGCGGTGCCTTGGTGGATGCGGCAGGGTCTCTCTAGGCCTCAGCTCAGACTTCTACTTTTTTTTTTTTTTTTAGTTTATTTTTATTTGAAAGGCAAAGTTGCAGAGAGAGAAGGAGAGCCACAGAGAGATCTTCCATCTGCTGATTCATTCCCCAAATGGCGGCAATGGCTGGAGCAAACTTGTAAGAAGCCAAGAGTCAGGAACTTTTTCCATGTCTCACATGTGGGTGCAGAGGCCCAAAGTCTTGGGCCATATTCCACTGCTTTTCCAGGCACATTAGCAGGGAACTGGGTCAGAAGTGGAACAACTGGGACTTGAACCATTACCCATGAGATGCCAGCACCATAGGCAAAGGATTAGCCTACTACACAGGTCCCTGGTTCAGACTTCTGATATCACTCTAGTTGGCTTCTGTTGGTCACTGGCAAGGCCAGCCCAATTCAAGACTAGGGAGAGGGTCTGGCGTGATAACATAGCAGTTAAAGTCCTCACCTCGAACGCCCCGGGATCCCATATGGACGCCGGTTCTAATCCCAGCAGCTCCACTTCCCATCCAGCTCCCTGCTTGTGCCCTGGGAAAGCAGTTGAAGACAGCCCAAAGCTTTGGGACACTGTACCTGCATGGGAGACCTGGAAGAATCTCCTAGCTTCAGACCAGCACAGCATCGGCCATTGCACTCACTTGGGGAGTGAATCATTGGATGGAAGATCTTCCCCTCTATATCTGACTTTGCAATAAAATAAAATAAAATAAAATAAAATAAATCTTAAAAAAAAAAGACTGGGGAGAAACAGACTCCTCCAACTCTTAGAGAGCAGAGCCAACGTCACACAGCAAAGGACCGTGCACACAGCAACATACAGGAATCTACGCCTGGACCAGCCGTGTTTTAACAAGTGGATGCGCTCTGGCAATGCAATGCTGTGTGAGTGTCACAGAGAACCACACACCCAGGCTGTTAGGTCAACACACAGGCTAGCCTGAGACTCCCAGGCCACCATGAGCAAAACAACGTGAGGTTAAATGAAGCAGGAGAGAAAATGCAAACAGGCGATGCAAGGAGCGCCAGGTGCGTGAGGCTGCTGCCGGCCTGCTGCCCAGGGGATTTGTTCAGGAGTGGAGATGCGGACGATAAAAGCATAGCCTAGCCAACACACGGCCAGTAACAGATGTGGTTGACTGTAATGTATTATACACGATTGTCTTCTGCGACTGTGCAGGTGCTGGGACAGCACTTCAGGAGCAAACATTTGGTCTAGCAGTTAAGACGCTGGTTACAATGCCCATGTCACATCAAATTACCTGGGCTTGACATCTAGCTCCAGCTTCGGGCTAATGCACAGCCTGGCAGGCAGGAGGGATGACTCACATAGCTGCGGTGTTGCCGCCCACGTGGGAGATCTGGATTAAGTTCCCAGCTCCCAGCTTTGGCCAGCTGTCATGGGAATTTAAATAAATAAATAAATACACCAGGAAATGGGAACTCTATCTGCTTTCTCTTTTAAAAGATGTATTTTTATTCGCTTCACTCGGAATTTCTTTGAGGGTCCCCCAACGAAGCCCTGGACTCAGAACTCCACCCGTGGGGGGAATGGCAGGAGCTGTGATGTGACAGTGAAGTGCATATATGTGAACAGTGCATCCTCAGTCCCTGAGAATGGTGCAGTGGACAGCATACCCAGATGCACATGGAGGATATGGCTGTCCATTGGAGCCTGCAGAGGACATCTGGTACCAGAGCGGGGGGGAAAGGGCAGAATAAATTGAACAACCACCCCAGCCAAACTTGACACCAAATTTCTGGGGTGGACTGTGTCAGCTAATGGACCTTGAAGAATTTCCTCATCCTTGGATCTGCGAGATCAACAGCATGTCTGAGCTATGGAAATCACTTGACCAGAGCCCTCAGAGCAAGCCCCGTCCACATCAGGGACTCTGGGCTGACATCGGGTGGCTGGGATGGTGAGAAGCCTGGCTATGATTTCTCCCCTTGCCTTCTTTTTCCCCAGATATAGGAAGGTGTGGAAATAGTGGTCTCACCTGCTTTCCCCTCGTCCTCCACCCTTCCCACCCTAACCAACTGTGTAAACATCATAAAAAATAAAAAATTTTAAATTATTTTTACTCATTCAGAAGCCAGAGATACACAGAATGATGTCCCATTCACTGCTTCATTACCCAAAGTACATTCAGGCCTGCCTTTCCTCTCCGTCACTCTCCCCAGGGGCCTGAAGGCCCTTCTGCTAAGAGCGCTATCCCTGGATCTTCAACCGGAGGACGGCTTTGGCTCTCCTCTCACTCATTCAATTTCTCCACACAAATATATGCAGCCCTAACCCCCTCCCTCCTGTGCATCCCCCTCCCCTGCCTTGCACGTCTCGCCCTGGGCACTGGAAGCACTCATTGGAAGAAACTTGTGTCCGACCACAGCAGTGAAAGGAAGCGTCTGACAGCGCCAGAGGAAGAAAATCAAGGATGAAGGTCTGTGGGTCCTCTGCAAGGTCAAGCACCCCTCATCCCGCCTGCACTCCCAGTCTGCACAATTGCCAGGTTCAGCTTGGTCTGGGAGCCAGGAACCTTGCATGGTGCTGTCCAAGGTACGTGGTGACCACCCCCTGGCACAGCGGGCTGCTTCTGTCCCACGGGACCCCGTGGGTCCCATGCAGGAGCACCTGACTGTGAGGCCCAGGCTCCCTGCTTTCGGGATGGAGTCAGGAACACGCTCTTCCTCCACATTCAGCATCAGCAGTCACCACTGAGGCCCGCTGGTCACAAAGCCAGCCCACCACAATGATGCCACCGGGCATCCTCACCAGCAGGTCAGATGCCTGGCCCTGGATGCCACTCTGGCGCGTGCAAGCACTCTTGCCCTGACCCTCAGTCCTGCACAGGCTGCTGGGGACTCACCAATCTGGGTTGGGTTGCTGCAGTCTCCATTGTATGATGCATGAGCTGTGGGCAAGCTCCCTACCCACCCAGCACCCCTCACTGGCAGGACCTCCAAGCCAGCTCCCTCTCTGCCTTGCCTCCCTGTCCTGCTTCCCCATTCCCCCACTCCCATTTCTGCGATGGAGCCGGTTAACGCAGCCTGGCCAATGGAACAGCCGGGGAGTTAAAGGCACAGCACGGTCCAGGAGAGCTGGTTCCTGAACCCGCTAAGGGGATAAGCTCAGAGCCTAATAGGATCGGCCATGGTGAATCCCCCAGCCCCGCACGCACTGCACGAAGGACTGAAGCCTGAAGCGATGGGGTGACTTGAGGACAGGATTACGGGGAAAGGGAGGGAGGGAGAATTAAGGAGCCTGGCTGTGCAGCCAGCACCCGGTGAGAATGAAGGTTCAGCCCCGCCCCCTGACCTCCTGGCAACCCCAACCCCAACTCCCCCACCCCGGGGATCTTGGCTGTGCCAGGCCAAGACCACTTTGGAATCGAGGATGACCTGAGCAGCAAGTTGAGGGGTCCCAAGCCCAAAGATTCATGGGGTATGATCGGAGATGGTTGTGGAGAAACAGCCCTGCGTGCCCCAGGAGCCATGCACCGTCGCCCACCCCCTTCCCTGTCAGACTGGCACTTGGTAGCACCTCCCTGATCCCCTTATCTCTAAGGCGCTCAGCAAAACGTGTGCAGCTGCAGCCTGCTCGGAAATGCTGTCCTGGCCGCCCGGGAACCATGAGTCCCGCAACCCCGGTAAGGCAGCGACCGCGGGGATGTAACCAAGGGTAGATGCCTTTCCCGAACCGAAAGCCTTGGGGTCCTCTGCGGCCCCTGTTCCCAACACCCTGCCTCTGCTGCGGGTTGGGAGGGAGGGTCATAGGGCTGAAGGGGCTGCATATAGAGAGAGACTTTCAGTTGAGTTCCCTCCAATCCATTTCCCACTGGGCTCTAGGGAGCCCAATCCCCATGACACCCCTACCTTGAACCCCTTACCTCCAGGCTCCAGGCGTTATTGCCACCACCTAGGGAACTTGGCGTTTCCCTGTTCCTTCCTTTGCCAGTCCCAGGCTTTGCCACCTACCACGCCCTCCAGGTCTACTTCCCAGGTATCTCCTGGAAACTCCTCGATTTCCCAACCAATATGAATAGAGGCTCGTGGATGGACCTGGGACAGCTTTGGCTGAGTCCCAGTTTGCTTTCCCCTTGCGAAGCCACCCCTTGTGCTCAATCTGTGTTTACATGTATCCTCTCCTACAAACTGGGAGCTGGGGATGCAAAGGGGGTGGGCTGGGTCTGGCGCTGCTCTAAAGCCTGGCACAGCATTTGGTGCAAACTCAGAAAAAAAAAAGATATGCATAATTTAGGAACCTACCTTCTTGTAACTTTTTTCCTAGAAAATTAGTTCACGGGTTCTTCAGAAATAGCAGTAAACTGCTGAACAAATGTCTTAATAGAAAGATAAAATCGCAAGTGCAGCGGGGGTGAGACAACCCGGGGTCAACAAAGGGCTACCCCAGACCACAGCGGTAGGGCTGTGGACTACAAGTCCCAGCATTCCTCAGAGCCGCCCCTCTCCTTGCCACGCCCCGTCCCTGGGGCCCAGAGAGGGCAAAGCCCGCCCCGGGGCACAGCCGGGGGAGTAAATGCCCCAAGAACTGCGGGGCTCACACGGCGCAGGCGCGCGGCGGGTTGGGTGGCAGCAGCATCGAGTAGCGGCCGGCCGTTTTTGACAGAAGCATCAGCAACAGGTGGAGGCAGGTGGGTGCATTTGTGGGAACCGGAGAAGGAGTTTGCACCTGGCCCTCGTGTCTGACTTGTGTCAGAACTTGAAAAGGGGAGGGAGGCAGACCCAGGCAGGTGTGCCAGCTCCAGTTACGCAGCACCAGGTGTGAGCCAGTGGGGGAAGGGCCTCTGCCCATGAATAGGTTGCCCTCGGAAACAGAGGGCACCTGGATTCCAACCAGAGCCCCATCACACACCTGGACAAGTCCTTTTCTGTCCCTGGGGTTGCCCATCTGCAAAACAGAAGTAAAAAAAGCCTATTTTACCCAGGGGAGGTCATCTAGAAGATGCTGTGGCTCCCAGTCCCCGCAGCACCTGGGACCCACCTGGGGCTCTTTCCAGACTGGAAGTGCTGGGATATTACTGGGATCAGGTGTGAGCCAGCCCTGGCTGCTCTGATGCTGAGAAGCCAGGGCTGCTCCAGCGTGCTGGTCTTGGTTCTGCTGCTTATGAGTCAATGCTGAGGCCTCAATCATCTCATCTCCAAAATGGGATTAAAAACAGATTGCTGGAAGGCCTAACGGGTGACAGACTTGAAGGGCTCCAGGGAGCACCTGGCCCCCTAGCGTGCTGTGGGTCCTGGCTGCTGTTCCACTGTTATTTTCCACACTTTGTAAACAGCCTCCCTAGGGTCCCAGCGTGAGGAGGCTTCCCTGTGGAAATCCCTCGTTCATTGATGACCCTTTGTGAAGCTTAGGATTCTGTACTGCTGGCACGGCAAAAGTCCGGGATTCTAACATTTTAAGACTTTTTCCCTGCAGGCTCTACCTGTCTCATAGACACACTTAAAACACACATACACACACACACAGAAAGAGAGAGAGAAAGAGAAGGAGAGAGAGAGAGAGAGAGAGAGAGAGAGAAAGGGGGAGGAGAGAGACAGGAGCCAAAGTTTTCTTACGAGTAGGGACAGAAACATGCTCTTGCAGACCTAGAAACCGAGGAGCCAGCCGAAGGCACTTGGCCGAGATCCCAGAGCTGCCTGTGGCATGCAGGCTCCTGAGCCCCAACCCGCTAGCCTGTCTCCAGCAAGGGCTGCCCAGCTGACCCCACAGCACAGTGCCCGCTTTCTCTGCCCGGGGCAGAGGACGGGGAGGGGCCTGAGGCCGCCTGGGCCCTTTGTTGTCTGATCCTCCCTGCCACACTTCCGCATCCCCAACCCCAGGGAAGATGGGGGGGGGCTGGGAGCCTCTGTTGGGGGCACTGTTCTGGGGGCAGCTGGTGAGGGCTGTGTGTCCTGGGTTCCTCTGACAGGTCCCACCCGACTCCACCCTGGAAAGTCGTTTCGAAGAAATGGCCCTGGTGAGGGGCGGCTGGCTGTGGAGACAGAGTGAGTGAACCTGGGAGAAGCTCTGGGGCAAGGGTGAAGTCTTCTCCCCCAAAATCAGGACCTCCTGGTGCCCCCCTCCTCTCTGCTTGATGTCCTTGCTGTCCCTCCTGCTTGGTCACCTGCTCAGCTCACCCAGCCGGTCCCTTGGCCAGGCTGGCTCAGATGCTTTTGTCCCTAAGGTCTTCTTCCTCTTGTACCACCCCGCCACTGTCCCCCAGGCTGTGAGGTCCCCCAGGGTAGGTGCTAGGGGAGTCCGTGGCACCCTAGTCCCGGGCTGAACGCAGAACGCAGCACGGAGCAAGTGAAAAATAGACCCCAGAAAGTGCCCTCTGCCCTGTCCTTTCACACTTTCCAGTTGCAACATGTCTGAAGCTGGGTGCAAGGCTTCTAGAACCTTCTCTGGCAGGGGTTACAAGGGAGCAGGAGCATTCCTGAGGACTCCTGGAGCTAGATGCCCCTAGCCCCACACCCCCTGTCCATTTTTCCTTTCTTTCATTGAGCAAAGCAGGTCTTATGAATGCCAGGACCTGGGTGATGGGCAGGCCAAGGAGACACTCTATCTGTGACTATTGCATGGGTCACAGCTAGGAGGTGAGGTGGACGCTCAGGGCCAGGACAGGCCTCTGTCCCTGAAGACACCTGGGGCTTGATCTTGGAGGCTCCCAAGCCTCAGCCTGGCCACTCATTCACTGCTCACCATACTGAGCTTCCACTAGGTGATGGGGTGCAGTGGAGTGGGGGGCAGCAGGACAAGAAATGACCCTTCCCCTCCCCGGGAGATTAGGCAGCCGACAAGCAGAGGAGGTTATAACCCTGACGCCTGGGGCTGAGAATATGGTGGGAGCCCATCTGGGGCTTTGGGGGTCAGCCTGCCTGTGAGGTTTGAAATGTTACACAGGCTCCATCCTGCGCCGTTGGAAACGCAACTGGTTTGCCCTGTGGCTGGATGGGACCCTGGGCTACTACCACGATGAGACGGCCCAGGACGAAGAGGACCGCGTGCTCATCCACTTCAATGTCCGTGACATAAAGGTTGGCCAGGAGTGCCACGGTAAGCAGCAACCCCTCCCCTCCACCATGGCATGGCAACCCCAGGGGACCTCCGCCCTTGGTATTTGGGAACACCTGCTATTTGCAAGGTAGTTTCCACGTTCAGGGGCTTCTGCAGCTGTTGCTGCTGGGCCTTTGACGACCCCCAAGTGAGTCAGGTGTGACATAAGAGATCTCTACTGTCTTGGGTTTCTCTCCTGTGTGCTTGGCCTGGGCTCTATGCTAGGCCCAGGGGTGAATCAGATACAGTTCTGGCCCTCATTTTCCTGGACACACAGGAAATGAAACAAGAAGGCTCAGAGAAGTCAAGCGGCCAGCCTACAGCAAAGATCCCAATTCCTGCACCAAGGCCATGGTTATAATGAGGCACCTGGGAGGTGGGGACAGGGGAGCCAGCAAGGTGACACAGCACTCTGAGGAGACAGTCCCTGCTCTGTCCTGCTCTCCCAGGGGGAACCTGGGGGTCCCAACAGACATGTGTCTGCTTCCAGACGTGCAGCCCCCAGAGGGCCGGAGCCGAGACGGACTGTTGACTGTGAGCCTGCGCGAGGGCGGCCGCCTGCACCTGTGTGCTGAGACCCAGGATGACGCCATGTAAGTTGTTACAGCACAGGGGTGGGCTGGGATTTTGTAGTGGGGGGTGCGGTGGAGAAGGGCTGCAACCAGACACCCTGCTAGCTGGCCATTAGAAGAGGGAGCAAAGCCGTGCCATCAGAGACCAGGCAGAAAGGGTTGGCATGGCTTAGGGAACTCCTGGCTGTGCCCATCATGAACTTAGGAGTAGTGAGAGCGTGTATGCATACCTGGCTTGCTTGTGGGTCCTCCAGCTGTTCAGAATCAAGTATCTTACCATCTCTGAGGTCAGCCCTAGTCTGGGGGTGAGCCACGGGAGCAGACAAGCCGATGGACATTCTCAGAGCAGGTGTGGGGGGTGGGCTCTGGTCCCAAGTGCAGACGGGCACTGGCCTATGAGGAAGGTGGTGGTGCCCCAGGCAGTTCCCTTACATTCCTTCTCTTCCTACTCTCCATCCAGGGCCCAGACCCTTGCCTAAAGGAGAGGGGAGGGAGGGGGAGAGAGAGAGATGGGTGTGGGAGTGGAGAAAGCTGAGCTGGCTGACACAGCACAGAGCGGCCTTGTCCTCCCTAGCAGGAACCATAACAACCCACAAAGGCCTTCTTGTTGGTGCTCCGTGGGCCCTGGCCCAGGCTCTAGGGCCAGAGGCTTTGGGTACCGGGTTGGCAGGTATGGGATGCATGAGGGGCTTCAGCCAGAGCATTCCCAGGCCCATCAGAACCTGAAGGACTCCCTGGGAGACCACTTGAGCCCAGCAGGGCACCACCCAGATGCGAAAAGAGGCCAGGGACTAGGAAGGAAGGAGCCTGACTGTGGGGCTCGAACTATATGACCAGACCAGGGAGGCAAGGCAATCTCCCAGTTGAGGGAAGACTGCTTTGGGGGGCCCACAGACTCCTTCATATTCTAATGGGTTTTACTTCACAGAGCATGGAAGACGGCGCTGATGGAGGCCAACTCCACCCCGGTGAGCCCCCACCTCCCTCCCCACCACCACCCTCACATGCCATGGAATCACGTGGGGCACAGACATGGTCTCCACTTGCCCAGAGTTCTCAGTCTAGCTTGTGCAGGCTTGTGTAGACTCAGATGTCCTGGCTGCCACATGGGAAAGGACAGGAGATGGCCAGCGGATGGGAGGAAGAGGAGGAGGGCGGAAGTAACTTTTATTGAGCAACTATTATGTGTCTGCATGGTGGTGTGGGGCTCATCCCACCACAGTCCCCAGAGGGGTGGCTTTTTGCTCCCAGCCTGCAGATGATGACACTGAGGTTCAGTTATCCCCCTGTGCGAGGTGCTGAGGATCCAGGATGTATCAAGGCAACATGGGTGGGACCTGCCCTCGTGAGGATCTGAGGCATTAGTGCCCGACATCAGGTTGCTCATGGCGGCAACACCATGCCTGAGACCCTGTGTGGCCCCGCTGTGGTCCGGCCCAGTAGGGAGTCCAGCTGAGGCTTACGTGGAGACTTGAAGGATAAGCAGAAATTGGGTAAAAGGCATGGGGCAGGCTGCAGAGGCCCTGAGAAAGGTTAAGACAAATTGGGGAAGAGAAGGCAGGTTGGGGTGGCAGGTGGGAGCAGGGGTCTGGAAAGTCTTTCAACAAAATGATGCATGATCAGGTCAGGTGTGTGTTTTGAGATTGATATCTTGAAAGGCAGAGTTATAGAGGAGAGAGAGAGATCTTTCATTCACTGGTTCACTCCCCACATGGCCACAATAGCCAGGGCTGAGCCAAGTTCAAGCCAGGAGCTTTATTCAGATCTCCCATGCAGGTTCAGGGTTCCAAGCCCTGAGCCATCCTCCACTGCTTTCTCAGGTGCATTAGCAAGGAGCTGGATCAGGAGTGGAGGAGTGAGGACTTGAATCAGCGCCCATATGGGATGCCGACATTGCAGGTGGTGGATGAACTTGCTGCACCATAGTGCTGGGTCCCCAGGTTTATGCTTTTTTTTAAAGATTTATTTTATTTTTATTGGAAAGTCAGACATTCAGAGAGGAGGAGACACAGAAGATCTTCCATCCATTGATTCGCTCCCCAAATAGCTGCAATGGCCAGAGCTGAGGTAATCTGAAGCCAGGAGCCAGGAGCCTTTTCCAGGTCTCCCTCGTGGGTGCAGGGTCCCAAAGCTATGGGCCATCCTTGACTGCTTTCCCAGGCCACAAGCAGGGAGCTGAATGGGAAGCGGGGCCACAGGGATTAGAACTGGCGCCCATATGGGATCCTGGAGCATTCAAGGTGATGACTTTAGCCACTAGGCCACACCGCTGGGCCAAGGTTTGTGCTTTTAAATACAGCACAGCTGGAAAGGAAGCAGGGGCTGTAAGAGCAAGAGGGGAGGGCTGAAATGGTGAGGTGGTTGGAGGCTGAGGCCAGAGCGGGACTGGCACAACAGGCTGGTCTCTGGTTTAGGAACTGGGCCGAGTGATTCAAGGTGTGAGTTTGTAGAAGGGAGGGGGTACCCAGAGCCCTGTCTGATCTGAGCACCCCAGCAGCCTGGCTCCACATCCTGTGCCTGCTCCTTCTGTCTGTGGCATACACAGCAGAGTCCTTACCCAGGGAGAAAGTCCCTGGGAGGAGACAGGGAGCCTAGAGTGTGGTTGGGAACCCCTTGTTGACAGGCAGGTACTGGGCCGAACACCCTGGCAGGTGCTTGTGGGGTAGAATTGCTATAGTTAGTCCCGTATTAAAGACAGCGAGGCTGAGGTCTCTGGAAGAGGGGATGACTTGGCTAAAGTCACAGGGGGTGGAGTATTACCTTCAGGAAGCTGGGAGCCAGGAGAAAGTAGGGGGAGCTTGGTCATCAGTGTAGAGGGATCTGGGTTGGCTCTGACTCTAAAGTGCCTGTTACAAGCTGGGCAAAGCAGGAAGGAGGGAGGGCTGACCGCTCTGCGCTCTGTGACTCTATGAAGCTGACCTGTCTCTCCTCAGCCTGCCTCTCCGCCTTCCCCACACCCCACCCTGGCCTCCACTCCCCTCCTCCGGACCCAAGGCTTCCCCAGCAGGTGTGTGTGTGCCTGTCCCTCTGTGTTCAGCTCTGTGTCCCTGTGCCTCTGTCCCTCACATGCTGCAAGTCCATGTCTCCTTCCATTGGAGATTCCAGGGGGAAGCCCAGATCCCTAGGAACATGGAGCCTGGAGGTGAGGGGTGGGCATGACCCAAAGCATGGCCTGGGTGGGATGTGTGTACGGGGTCAGACCCCGACTGCCCTGTCCTTCCTGGAACAGCTGCATGGCACAGGCCAAGGGCTGGGAGGTCTTGATTGTATAACTGTGCCACCTGCACACCCTGCTGTGAGTCCCCACTGTACCATGAGCTGAGGAGGACGGGGACCCCTTTGCCTCTACCCGGGGCAGCAGAGGACTCTGGGAGGGCCTGGTGAGAGCTCTGGGCCTCTACAGGCATGCAGGACCACTGACACACGCCACCTTCACTCACTCCCTTCCCCTTCTTGGGTCCCTCTGGCTTGAGCAGGCCCCGGCTGGAGCCACCGTTCCTCCCAGGAGCCGCCGGGCTTGTCCCAAGGTCCGGTGTGTGACCCGCTCATGGAGCCCCTGTCAGGTTGAGAGGCGGATCTGGGTAAGTGCTGGCTCAGCGCACGCACCCCTGCCTCCATTCTGGCCATCAGAATGGGCCTGTAGTGCTACCCCCCACTGCCTCAGCCATCCCTTCTCCATTCAGCCTTCTTGGCCTGGGGTCAGCCTTCAGCCTTGGGCTCTAACTGCTGTGTAGCTCCCTCTGCCCCAGCCACACAGACCCATCCCTCCTTCTCCAGCCGTTCTGTGCCACTGTCCCCTAAGGGCTGAAGTAAAACGGGTCCTCACTTCCCCAAGTCATGGGAGGCCCAGTCCTCAGTCCCCTGTGCTGTGTGATGCATTATCCTCCCTGGCTTCTGAGTGAGGCTCATCATATTTGCCCATGTCCGGCACGGGGACTTCCTTTAAAGCAGGGACCAGGTCTGGCCAGAGCTGCTCCGTGTGGAGCCTGGAACAGAGCTGGGTACCCAGCAGGGCCTCAATATGTGCTCAATGATGGGACCAGTCTGTTTTGAGCTCACCGGCACACGTTGCCCTCAGGAGATGCTTGCAGAGTGAATGAATCTGAATGAGTATTGAACCACTCAGTCTGGGTCTCTCCTGATCCAGCATGTTGCACGTAGGTGGGGTTCATGTCTGAATACTTTTTTTTTGTCTCCAGTGTTCTGCACGGGGTCTGACATGGGACAGGTGGCAGCAGGGGCTTGGATGAGGGTCTGTGGTCTGTGGGGGTCACCTTGGGATCTTGCAGGGTGGTGTGCAATGAGGACTCTTTAGCACCATCAGTGGGTGCTCAAACCCTGCCTCTGGATGCCTGTAGTCCTGGGGTGAGGCCAGGACAGCTGCAGTTTAGAAGTTACCCCCCACCCCTGTGATTCTGCTATGCAAGCTGCTGAGTAGCCCAGCCGTGTCCAGCCATGCTTAGCTGTGGCCTTGCACGGATGTGACTCTGTGAGATGTAATGGAGGAAAGTCTGTGGGCAAGCAGAAAGGTGACACTCTGAAGGCATAGCCAATTTGCTTAGCCTGGGACTCCCAGCATTCCCTTGGGTGGCAAGGAGATGCGAGTCTGTTTACATCACCTGTGCCTGACAACACACACTTGAGTGGGTATCAGCGCCTCCTAGGGGAGTCATTTGCATGTGATGTCCTGATTGGCCAACATCCTCTGCATCACAGGAGGGGTGCTGGGCCTCCAGAGAGGGAGGGGATGGGGACAGCAGTCCTCAGGTTTTGGCCCTGAGGCCTTGGGGGTGATGCTGCCCGTTGCCAGGTGGCCTACATGAGTTTACTTTGGGGCCGCCCAAACCCAGGATGTGCAAACAGGTGGCCCAGAGGGACACAAGCTGGTGTTTTCCACTCTCTCCTGAGCCTCCCAGAGCCTTGCACTTGGAGGGCAGCCACTGCACAGGTGAAAGCTCTGGCCTTCAACATTCTGACCAGTGGAATTGGATCTGAGTGCTTAGCCCCCTGCAGCCTGCTTTGGGCCTGAAGCCCAGATCCTGCCCACTGCCCCTTCCAACACTAGAAGTACAGGGGAGCCCCAGGTGGCGGGGGTGGGGGGGAGCCAGGAGAACCTGCGTGTACACTTGAGATCACAGATGAGGTTGGGGGAGCCCCTGCACAGGCTAGGTCTTGAGAGAGTCCTAAAGATGCTGACCCTAGTTCTCAGCCCCTCCTCCCAACCCTCCTTGGAACCCACTCACTCCACCTACCACTTCCTGGGTACTACAACAGATGCCTTGGACAGTCGACAAAGAAAAGTGAGGGGGCTGGCAGCTGATGTGCCACGGAAGGTGCGCATGTGTGAAGGCAGAGGTGCCAACCTGACCACAGAGCCAGGGTGCAGGGTGGTGACCCTTGCAGTGGAAGCATCCATGGGAAGAGGGGGAAGTTTGGGGATGGAGAGATGTCACAGTCCCCTGAAGATGGGCTACTGTTGAGATGCCCGTGCTGCTAAGGGGAGTTGGGCCTCTTGGCTGGTACTGCAGAGAGGAGGGGGAGGGTGGGTAGGGATGCAAGAGCAAGCAGAGCAGGGATCTGCAGGAAGCATCTAGGAGAGGGGGGAAATCTTGTCAGCTCCTCACATCAGCTCCCCCCGAGGGCAAAAGAGGACTTGGCCTGTATTCACCAGCACGTGCCCTGCACCAGCCCTGCAGGCACCTCCAGTAAATCAGAATCCTTGCCTATGAGCAGCTCACTCCTGGAGGTGCAGGCAAGGGCAGCCCAGGAGAAAGGACAGCAACAAGAGGCACAAGCAGAATGCACAGATGTGAGAATTCAGCGACCACACGGGCTTCCTGGGGCTGGGGGCATCAGAATCTCCAAGAAAACACAGACACTGAGACAGGAAATGTCTCCCTTGGGACCTGGCACCTAGTAGATGCTCAATAACAGCTGCTGTAGTTACCTCCCTTCCTGGCTGTTCCTTCTGCTGCTTCCCCAGCTCTGGGGGCTTGGCCAGGTACCCCTCCCGGTGGGTAGATTGAGATTTTTCCAGTTGGGGTTACTGGGGTGTGCTAGCAGGTGGCAGACCAGGCTGAGAAGCTGCTAGGAAGCACAGAGAGCTTTTTAGAGCCAGGTAGAGGTCAGGATGGGAGAATGTGTGCCATCCAGAGGTGGATGTCAGGGCCAAAGTGCCAGAGGACAAGAGCCATGACCTTTTACTGGTGTCCTGGTGTGTGGTGGAGGAAGGACAGGCTTCTTGTGGCTCAGAGGGAAGACGCGGGGTTTGGGGGGAAGGGACCAAAGCCCGGCCTGGGAGCTCATCTAGCAGGCTTCCCCAGGTGCGTGTCTACAGCCCGTACCAGGATTACTACGAGGTGGTGCCTCCCAACGCACACGAGGCCACTTATGTCCGCAGCTACTATGGCCCGCCCTATGCAGGTAAGTCCCCATGCACGTGCATCAGTCAGGACCAGGCCACCCTCCCTGCCCTTTATTTTCAGATTTATCCAGGCAGGACCCTGCCAACTGTTCCCTCCCTCAGATGTGGTCCCAGAACCAGCCTCCGCTCTGCCGTCCCATAGCTGATCTTACCTCTCCAGGAGCGCGGCTGCTCCGCCCATCCCTTGGCTAGTGGCGACCTCTGGCGGTGTTTGTGGGAACCGCAGTCTGCTTTCCGCTCCGGGGTCTAGCGGTGGGTCACGCCCACCCTCAGGTGCAGGTGCTCGCGGATCCCGAGGTTTCCTTGCCGCGCTGCCCTTCACCCTCACCCTCGCCGCTGGCCCAGAACGCACGCACGTAGCATGTCCGAGGCTTGGAGCCGACTGGGTCTGGACAAGGTCGCAGTGTCCCCTACTGAGGGAAAGCTGGAGAGTGAGCTCAGCATTGGGTTGGACTGGTGTCGTGCAGTCTCCTTGTTTGCTCCAAATCCCCAACCCAGAGTTCTCTCTCCACAGGCCCCGGCGTGACACACGTGATAGTGCGGGAGGACCCCTGCTACAGCTCGGGCGCGCCACTGGCCATGGGCATGCTGGCTGGCGCTGCGACGGGGGCTGCGCTTGGCTCGCTCATGTGGTCCCCGTGCTGGTTCTGAGCGTGTAGCCTGCCAGCTCTGGCCTCCTCGGGGACCCCCCTGCTCTGCATACCACCCACCACAGCCCCTTCCTCACCTAGCTCCTCCTAGGCTTGGACCATCCCTGCTGCCTCACTAGTAGCTCTGGAAGCTCCTCCTATCTACTGCCGGACACAAGGAAGTCCCTCCCAGACACAGGTGCAGGCCCCACACTGGGCCACAACCACAACTGAGTTCCCTGAGGCCCCTGGCGGCTTCTGCCCTCACTCCCTGAGGAGCTTCAGGCCTGATGGGTGGAAGATAAGGGGTACACACTTTAGAAAGCTACGGAACTCTCAGTTCTTTGCCTAGGTCTTGGGGCCAGGCAGGTAGGCTGGGAACCGTACTGTGTGTCCAAGGAGTCGCAAGGAAGTACGTCGGGCTGGAGGGAGGCAGGGTCAGCCCAAGATGGTTAACAGGGGAGAAGTTAGTTTGTGGTGGAGGAAAGCTAATGGACGGCACCTTTTGTGGATTTACTGCCTGCTTTGTTAACAATGACACATATCCAGGTCCCAATACCCCTATCTTCCTGCGACCAGCTTCCAGGGTGTCCTGTTCCCCAAGATAACAACTGAGCTGCTCCTGGTTGGGGGCCAAGCCCTGCTTGGGACCTCCTGCCCTGGAAGCTGCCTCTGTCAGGAAATGCCTTTGTGGTTCCTGGATCCAAGAGCTCAGCTGTGAACCTGGAGTGGTGGCTGTGGCCACCTAGGCTCCTCTTCCTCTCCTCTGGGGTCTGCTCCAGCCTGGGAAGCTTGTGTGCCTGCCTACAGATGGCTGCCCTTGGTCCTGTTCCAACCCTGCCCCCATCACCAATAGAAAGGCTAACATTCCTGCCCAGTAGCCAGAGTGGCCCCTGAATGTCCCCCCAGACAGCGGGGGACCCCCACTGGCTCTGCTGCAGACATTAATAAAAGTGTGGCTGGCTCTCGCCCTGGCTTTGGCTGGCTTTGTCTCCCTGCCCTGCCTGCCCCTCTCTCATGGTCCTCTCTCCAGGACCCAGCAGGTGCCTCCTGAGGGATAGTGAGCAGAGTGTGGGTTCTCGTAGTGTGGGAGAGAACTGGGGACAGCATATCAGCCCAGGCATTGGGGGGGCCGTCACCCTGCCTTCTCCCCACCCACGATAAGTGGCCATTGGAGTTGGCCATCCCAGAGGCCTCAGGAAGGGAGGCTGCACATCAGGGTCTTGCTGTCTGATGGCCCTGCCTGTCTTGTTAGAGTCCGGTGGTATTGAGGTCTGTTCTGGAAGATTCCATCCTGCAAGGTACCCACACACAGGGCAAAGCAGTGACGATCCAGCTGGAAGGAGGAGGGGATCACAGGGCGTTTCCCAGGTTGAGTGAGGAAGAATAGCTTTGCTCACAGCAAGGACAGCTGGAAGAACTGGCAAATGCAAAGAACTGGCAGACTCAAGGAGGAATAGGCATTGGCTCAGCTGGTGGTGGGCACACAGGCTGTGCTCTGGGGACCCCTCCCCATGTCAGTCAGTCACTTAGATCTGCAATCTGGGCGTTTATTTCCAACAGGCGCCCAGTTACCCTCCACCATTTCACAGCATTCCCAGGAAGCCATCTCATGGGAGGGTGGGTGTTCTGCATACTCTTTTGAGTTTGGCTCCATTTAGAACCTACTCTTTAGGTTCCGTCTGAAAGCCTGACCCCTAGATTTCATCTATTCATTTTCATCTTATTTGAAAGACAAAAAGGTATCTTCCATCTGCTGGGTCATTCCCTCCAGTTGTTCCTGTGCCAGGTGGAAGCCAGGAGCTCAAACTCCATCTGTGCTCCTCAGGTGGGTGACAGGGCTACAGTTTCTTGAGCCCTCACCTGCAGCCTCCCAGGGTGCACATTAGTGGGAATGGTGGAGCCCAGGCACTCCACTGTGGGTGTGGGCATCTTAGGCAGCAGTGAACCACAGCAGACACCTGCCCTAGTCTTGAGGCATTTAGGGTAACTACACTACGTAGGAAAAGTCCGAGACAGCCACAGGCCTTCCCGGGAACATGGGGTGATCAGGGGTCAGGAAGCCAGCTGGCCAGGGCATTCATCACCCACAGCTTCCCTTTCTTTACTAAGCAGAAAACCCCATGAGCCCTTGAACACCTAGAAACCTAGACGGAGAGGGACAGTGAGGTGTCCCATGCCACACACGTGCTGTGTCAGCACCAGAACTTACAGTGGCCACTCAACTCTGTTCCCGACTTTATCCGCTTGCACATTACAAAAACAGGGATTGGAACCACTTCCCAGCCTCCCATTCAGGGGAGCTAGTCTGGGACCAGCCTCCTGGTATGAAGGGTTAAGCTGCAGCCTGTGATGTTGGCACTTCAAGTTGGAGTGCCAGTTCGAGTCCTGGCTGCTCCACTTTAGCTCCAGCTTCCCTCCTGCTACCATGCCTGAAGATGGCTTAAGCACTTGGGCCACTGTACCCATGTGGGAGACCTGGAAAAGACTCTGGACAGGCCCAGCTCTGGCTGTTGTGACCATCTGGCGGCCCGGAACCGTAGCCTAGATGATAAAGTCCTCCCTGTGAACACGTTGGGATCTCATATGGGCACTGGTTCCTAAACCTGTCAGCCCTATTTCCCATCCAGCTCCCTGCTTGTGGCCTGGGAAGGCAGTCAAGGATGCCCCAGAGCCTTGGGACCCTGCACCTGTGTGGGAGACCCGGAGGAGGCTACGGGCTCCTGGCTTCAGATTGACTCAGCTCCCTCCATTGTGGCTGCTTGGGGAGTGAATCATCGGATAGATCTTTCTCTTCTCCTCTGTATATAAATGTAAAAAGCAGGGGTGTGTGTGTAGCCCTATGTGTTCCAAACATGCACACACAAACTCTACCAGCATGGTACAGGGCTGGGGCCAGGGGTCCCCCTGAGGCTGAGGTCTCAGGGCACAGAGCAAGCAGCCTTTGGTGCAGCTGCAGAAGGAAGTGAGGTACAGAGGGCCGAAGTTAACACTCTAAGGAATGTGGACTGGTGGCACTGTGGACTTTGGGGAAGAGGAACAATAACTGAAGTAAACTTTTCCCAGTGCTGGGAGTTTACCGAGGCCACACCTGCAAGATGATTGGCAGCAGAGGGAACTTGGAGAGCAGCAAGAGTGCAAGAGTCAGTCCTGTGAGACCACCTTGTGCCTACAATGCTGGGGTGAGCTTGAGCTAAATACTCCCAGGGCCACTGGCAGGCTTGGGGAGATCTGAAGCAAAGGACATGAGGAGACCACAAATATGAATCCTCACACACATCAGTGTGTGACAGGAGCCCTATCAGACAGAGGCCGCCCTTGCGGATGGGACCATTGTATTGGCCTCCCACAGGGAACTCGCTTCCCGGGTGGGACGCCTCAACCTGCCAGGTCCCCTTTCTGGATGCAGGAATTGATCCCCAGCCTTAGGATGCCCCTGGGAGGAGACTTTATAGTCACATGTCACTCAGTCTGTCTTCTCCGAACCTTGAAGTTCCATCCTTTCTGGGATGGTCACTAGCCTTGGGGGACAGAGAAAGAGAGGTGGCCAGCTGAGGCCAGAATACACCAAGACAAAGTTAAATATAGCTTTGGTTCCAACCACAAAGCCCACGAGAGCATGTTCTCTTCAGGAGTTCACCTGCTGCTAGGATGAGGCTGCCTTCCCCCGTCCCCCTCTCTCCCCGCTGCACACACCTGGGCTGCCTGGACCCACAGGCCACCGTGTGGAAACTGCTCTCCCTCTGGGCACTGGAAAGGTATTGATGTAAATGAAGGTTTCCCCTGACTGCTGCAGCTCCTCATGTCACACCGACTTCACAGAAATGGTTGAGTGACCAAAGGACAAGGAAGGAAATGAAAAAAGTCCCTGGTCCTCCCCTTCTCTGTCCTGGCCTTCCCCTACAGAACAAGGCTCTCCACTTCTGCCGGGGTGCTGTCTCGGTGAACTGGATGGAGCTGTGTGTGCAGTGACGGTGTGCTCCAACTATATCACTGGCAGGACGGCAACACGAATGTTCTAGTCTCCCAGCTTTACCCACAAGTATGAAGACCCCTTGGATAACACAGTCCCCTGAACCACACATCTATGGCCCACTTCAGTCAACACAGTAGTTTTGTGTAAAAAAAAAAAAAAATGAGTTGACATGTTATAGCACTACACACACACACACCCCTAAATAGCTAAAGATGTAAATAAATAAAAAACCCAGACAATACTGTTATGAACCAACTGGAAATCTTAAAAGTCACTGAAACAAACTGGGGCATTTGTTTTGGAGCTGAATTGGTAAACCAAACACACATATGCCTTAGAGCCAATCCTACACCAAGGCATACCCAATAGAAATGTGCTTATGTTCACGAAACTTCATAGTTTACTGAGAAGAACTCACATTTTAGAAGCTGGATCCACGGGTGTATTCATGAAAACACACAATATTGAGGAAGTAAATACCCATAGATATGTGCAAATTTCAGATGGACCACAAAGAAAATAGGTCAGGGATGGGTGTGCAAACTAGAATTATACTGTTTTCTAAAATAGTACATGTGATAAGATGCAAATTTGAATACTTAGAGCAACCACAGAAAGTATAACCAGAGATTAATTTTTTAAATACCAACAGAAGATTTTAAAAGAACAAATACCAAAACCCAGGCCTAAATTCATACATATTAATAATGACATTAAGTGTGTGTATCATTCCAATTTTAGTATATGTGCTGCCGAAGCGAGCACAAGTGTGTGTAGACTAGAAGCACAGATTTTGACAGACTGGGGCAGGTGTTTGTTCTATCAGTTAAGACGCCCACATCCCATGTTAGAGCCCCTGGCTCGCCTGGCCCTGGACCAGATTCGTTTCCTGCCAAGCGCGTGTTGGGAAGCAGTGAAGACGGCCAAATGCTGAGGTTCCTGCCCTTCTCAAGAAGACCCGGGAATGGTTCCACTCCAGCCCCTCTGCTTGTTGCAGGCACTTGGAAGGGCGCTTTCTCTCCATTTGCTTTTCAAATATATATATTTTGGTGCAAGATTTATTTTCATTTGAAAGACAGAGTTAGAGAGAGAGACAAGAGATCTTTCATCTGCTGGTTCACTCCCCAAATGGCCTCAAAGACCAAGGCTGAGCCAGTCTAACACCAGGAGCCAGGAGACTCTCTGTAACTCCTACATCGACCCAAAGACTAGAGCTATCCACCACTACTTTCCCATGACCCCAGCAGGGAGCTGAACTGGAAGTGGAACAGCCAGGACAGGAAACAGCACCTATATGGGATGCTGGCATAGTAGGCAGAGGTTTAGTATGCTATCCTACTGCTAGTCCCAACAAGCAAGTTTTTAAAGAAATTTTCAGAATTACCTAAGGAACAAGATTCAACATTATGTTGTGTACAAAATATATACTAAAAAAAAAATTCATTTAAGTTATTTATACTGGGGCCAATACTGTGGAATATAGTAAGTAAAGCCTGCTAGTATACCATATAGGTACCGGTGTTGAATCCTGGCTGCTCCATTTCTGATCCAGCTTCTTGCTTAACCTGGGCAAAGTCACCTAAGTGTTTGGGCCCCTGCCACCTACAGGGCCCAGTGCTGGCTGTAGCGGTCACATGAGGAATCCATCAGCCATGGTTGGGTAGTTGAATTCAGGAACCAGGACCTGTGCCTGGGATTCTGATATGGTTTGCAAGGACTCAAGTGCTGAAGTATTATCTGTTCCCTCCCAGGGCACTCTTTAGCAGGAAGCTGGATTGAAGAACTTAATCCCAGGCATCCTGTTATGGATGCAGCATCCCAAGAGCCATCCCTCCCATTGTGCCATACACTTGCTCCTATTATATTACCCTTAAATTACTATTGCCCTTCTCAAAGTTCTGCTTCAGAAAGTACTTGCTTTTCCTTTTAAGGCAGTTTTCTCATACCCCACTACATTGGGTTGTAAGTTTAAATCCCCTTTGTAGTATATA